CTGTGGTGTTCTTTAATGTTCCTCAGGGTTTAATTGCCAGTGATTGTGCCCTGACATAAATCTTAAACGCACAGATCCTACCACACTAATTACAGGATTTCCTTCTGCAGTTATTGGAATTTACATCACAGCCTTTGCAGTGGTAACTGAGCCCACAACAAAATAATAAACTGTGTCTTATGCACACCAATGTTTTGCTGTGTTGTGAGGAGTAGTGTGTGAGGATTAACTGGATGAGGAGTGACTTTCTCAGGAACATTCTACTCTTTCTTCTGTGCAGAGGAGTTTAAGATCTTTTAAAAGTGAATTTTTCATACTGTATTTGCTGTTTTGGAAGATAAATTGCAGACCTCTGAAAAAGATGGTGCGTTTGCTGTATTAACCTCTTGGTTAATACCAAAGTATTAAGTAGCCACCAAATGCCTGGCCATTACTCAATAGCTCAATGGCCAATACTCAGAGGAGCAAGTCCTTGGTGTTGACAAAAGCCTGTATCACAGCTGCTTTTACCACAGCTGGCATCAAATATTTCCATTGTGGAAATATTTCACTTCCAATAGAGGTCAAGTTTTGACTGTGCACAAAGTCTGTGCTGCCACACAATCCAACTGCTGAAGCTCGTGATAGTGACCCAGGACTGACTCCTTGGACAACAAACAAGTTTCCCATCAAAGCCATTGACAGACTAATGGGGAAACTTCAGAGAACTCACTTTGAAATATTGCTTTCCTCAATGCTGAATTATTCCCTTTAGTTATCAGCTACATCTATTCAAAGAAATCTGTGATGCTTCTAAATGCATAAGAAAGGGGGAGCAAAAACAGCTCAAGAATTCAAGTCAGACCTGTGAGGAAAAACACTGTATCAGAACCCAGACTAAATGAAAGGAAATAAGCAGCACCTCCATTTTTATTTAACCATTTAACATGGGACAGAAGTTTAAAGTAATAACCCTTGCAAATTCCTAAATCTTACCACATCAACTTGTTTTACTTGTTTATATTCCACCTCATCTCTGTATCCAGCTTGCTGGAATCTGTATAAGTTCTCTACATCATCTGACCATGTTTTGGCACGATGCATAGATTTTGGTTTGATGTCAGCTTTAGCCATGACTCCAGGAACTTCAGACTTCTTCCTGAAATTAGATTTTTAAAAATTAAATAGAGAAGACAGAAGCAGGTGATTTTGATGGAGATATACAGAAATGGGTAAAACAAAATTTTAAAATAAGGGAATTACAGATTGAGTTAAAAAAAAAAAGTGATAAGCAGTTGGAATCAAATTAAATACGCTATTTGATCTCAAACCCAACTTACCTATACCTCAATATACACCCTGACTTAATCTACTAAAATTTAATTGTGCATATTGATGCATTTAAAAAAACAGCAATTTTAAAATTTCACATCTTTGCAGTTGCTGTCCTTTTGGGACAGACAGTTTTTCTGTTTTTTTCTTTCTTCCTCCTGTAGTGACACCAAACTGAGAGACACAGAATGAAGATCATTTTGCAATTGAAAGCAACCATTTACTAAAATCAAAACATAGTTTTCCCACCCAGTTATGAGGTGTCACATACGAATTAACAGGATAAGCACATATCCTTATTCTAAATCTTTAGGGTAGTCTTGAGATATCCATCTCAACATAATTTTTTTTCTCCTGTACTGCAAAGGGCTCTTTTGTAGCCACCACAGAATTTTTTTCAAGCCCTGCATATGCTCATCAGTGTTTGATGAGAACTGTTTTCAGTCAGTATTGACCTTAGGCAGTCAGTATGATTAGCAATAACAGTAGATCTTAATAAATTATAAACTGTGATGAATTTAAGGGTGTTGTGATAACTTACATGTTACTACTGTTATGTACTTCTTGAGAAGATATGCTGGATTCACCTAATGAATGTGCTTCTTCAAGACATCCAGATAGGTCTGGTGCTTCCTGAGTCACCATTAATTCAGGGTGCCTGATCCACAGGCTTTCCTGCTCAAAAAACAGATGTAAAGGTCATATATTGAAAGTTCCAGCTTGGTGACTTCAAATAACAAAAGCACAATCCTGATATTGGGCTGCTATTTAAAAATTTGTACTCTTTGTCTATTTTAGTGTGTCCAAGTTCCACGCACTGTTGTTCCACGAGCTGTTTTCATTGCAGCAGAGCAGGAGACAGCTGTACTCCAGCCAGGAATTCAGGGAAGAGACAAAAGACAACAGACAGATAAAGGCAAATGAAAGAATTCAAGAGAGTGGTAAGAAAATATTCAGCATAATACCAGTAGTTTTCATTTAAAGAGAATTGTTGAACAGTGAAGTGGACTTTGTTAAAGATTACAATGTTTGCCTACTCTTCATTTAGGGTAAGTAGTGAGATTTCATATATCTCTGTTTTGGCTTTAGGAACACATTTACTAATTTAATCATAACATAATTACTGTGGAATCCTGACTAGCCTGGGCTGGCATATAGTGGTTTCCTTAACAGTTACATAAGAGTTTGTGGGAGGAGAATGTCTGCTCCTTAAGGGCATCTGCTCAAGGACCATTTTAAGCGCAGTAAGGGATTACAGGAAAGGGAGGAAGCCATGAAACAAGAACCTATGGAGACTCAAACCTGAGCAGTAAATGAGGGACGTGGTGATGAGAACCAAACCTGGTCGGTCACATTAATTGATGCGGCATGAGAGGAGTGTGAGAATGTTTATTCCAGTAAGGTTCTCTGATCAGAGCCCCTTGTCAGTTGGGAAATTAGGGAAAAGGGGGGAAAACAGAAACAAAATATAAAGAGACAAGGACCTGACAAAAAAAAGAAAGACCATGACAAGAAACAAACCTCACCACTCCCACCAGTGGATGGGGTATCAAGAAACTACAGGCATCAGGAAGAGCAGCCTGGACTTTGCACTGATAGGACTGTGAACCAGGGGGACCCAGACTTGGAGAGGTGTGGGAATCCACGGAGCTGTACAGACCTGTGAGGAATGCATGCCTGGCTGAGCCCCACGCCTGATCAGCACAGACTGTCCTACTCTATTGTAACTTCTTAAATCTTAAGCATCTCTGTGCATAACCTCACTTTGTATCCCGTATATGCATGTGATGAAGGACAAAGTGCCAGCTGCTGGTGAGACCTGTGTGTGAGTGAACACTGGTGCCAGCTCCTGGAGTCAGACTGGGGGCAAGGGCACCTCTGGCCTATGATGTCAGCTGCTGGTGCAGGTGGGGGGCTTTAACTTCCAGCCACTGGAGCAGGAACAGGATGGAGGAGGGCTGTCATGAGTGAAGGGCTCCATGTCAGCATATGGAGCAGGGCTGTGGGTCACAGCTTGTGTGCCTGGTGCTGGATACTGGGGAGAAAGGGTATCTGTATCTTCACCAGCTTTGGTAATCTTAGGGCACACACCCATGTTTATCAGCTAATTTTAAGCTGAAGGGTAGTGGCACCTTGGGTCCAGGACAGGGGGCCCTGCAGCATCCTCAGCCCAGGCAGGAGCCCCATGTTCCCATGCAGGAGAGGCTCTGGACCAGAGCAGAAGGCGAGATGGCTGTTTCCCACATCACTTACCACGAGTCAGCAAACACAGGGCCTGTTTGGGGTCCCAGAAAAGTCACTAAGAGATTTCATAGAATCCTAGAATGGTTTGGGTTGGAAGGGACCTTAAAGACCATCTCATTTCAAACCCCCAGCCATGGGCAGGGACACCTCCCACTGGATTAGGTTGCTCCAAGCCCTGTCCAACCTGGCCTTGAATCTTTCCAGGGATGAGGCTGCCACAACTTCTCTGAGAAGCTTTTTCCAGCGTCTCACTGCCCTCTTTGTAAAAAAATTTCTTGCTAATATCTAACCTAAGCTTTCCCTCTTCCATAGAATCATAGAATCAGCCAAGTTGGAAAAGATCTCTGAGACCATCAAGTCCAACCCTTGATCCAATACTGCCATGGTTACCAGACCATGGCACTAAGTGCCACATCCAGTCTCATCTTAAAAACCTCCAGGGACGGAGAATCCACCACTTCCCTGGGCAGCCCATTCCAATGCCTGAGTACCCTCTCTGTAAAGAATTTTTTCCTAATATCTAACCTAAACCTCCCCTGGCAGAGCTTAAGACCACGCCCTCTTGTCTTACTGATAGCTACCTGGGAGAAGAGATTAACCCCCACCTGGCTACAACCTCCTGTCAGGGAGTTGTAGAGAGTGATAAGGTCTCCCCTGAGCCTCCTCTTCTGCAGGCTAAACAACCCCAGCTCCCTCAGCCTCTCCTCATAGGGCTTGTGGTCGAGTCCCTTCACCAGCCTTGTTGCTCTTCTCTGGACCTGCTCCAGCACCTCAATATCCTTCCTGAACGGAGGGGCCCAGAACTGGGCAGAATCTACAAGGCAGCTCCTTGTACGCGCCGAGGTGCGCAGGCTGACGTTCCGATGTGACAACAGTGTGACCGCAACCCCGCGCTGCTCCCACAGCCACCCGCCCACCCAGCCCTTAAGAGGGCCCACCTCGCTTCGAGAGCCGCAAACGAGGGGGTCTCCTCCCAAGCGAGGCGGGGCGGAGTGGAGCGGCGGCCGAGGCGCGATGGCAGCGGCGCCTCTTAGGGCAGCTCCCTCCAACCCCGCCCCGGGTCCCCCCTCACTCGGGTCCCCCCTCACGACGCCAACGGTCGCCAGGCAACCGTCCGCCATGGCCGCTTTAAAAGGGCCGTGCCCGCCTCTGATAGGCCGGCGGGGGGCGGGGTTGAGTTGCGATTGGCTGGGGGCCGGAGGTGAAGGCGGAAGCGCGCGGCGCCGGCGGCGGCCATGAGCCGGTTTGGGGGTCGCATGCGGGAGTACCCGGCCCTGTCCATCGACCGCTTCGACCACCACAACCTGCGCGCCCGCGCCTTCTTCCTGTCGCACTGCCACAAGGGTGAGCGGCCGCGAGGGGCTGGGAGCGTCCCCGGCTGCGCCACACCTCCCCTACACCCCACTGACCACCGTGCCTCTCTCTCTCTCTCTCTCTCTCCCCAGATCACATGAAGGGGCTGCGGGCGCCCGCCCTGAAGCGCAGGCTGGAGGGCAGGTACGGCGGCGGCTGAGGGGGGACGGGACCGGCAGCGCTGAGGGGGAGGCGGCTGGTGCGCGGCAAAGCGTGGGCAAAACACCTTGAGGAGCTGCCGTGGGTTACAAGTCACAGCAAGGACACACCTCCCTCTAGACGAGGATGCTCCAAGCTCCGTTCAACGTGGCCTTGAACACTCCCAGGGATGGGGCAGCCACAGCTTCTCTGGGCGAGCTATGCCAGTGTATAATCCACCTCACTATACGAAGTTTTCCCCTTTTATCTACCTAAGCTTTCAATTTAAAGTCATTCTCCTCTATCTTTGTAAAATGTCCCTCTCCATCATTCTTATAAGCCCCCTTTAAGTATTGAACGGTGGCAATATTGAAGGCTCCCCAGAGCCGCCTTCTGTCTATGCTGAACAACACCAACTCTCTCAGCCTGCCTCCATAGGAGAGGTGATCCAGCCCTTGGATCGTTTTTCTGTCCTCCTCTGGACCTGCCCCAACAGGTTCCTGTCCTTCCCGTGCTGGGGACCCCAGAGCTGGACGCAGCACTCCAGGTGGGGTCTCAAAAGGGCAGAGCAGAGGGGGGAGAATCATCTCCTTCGGCCTGCTGGTGATGTAGCCCAGGATGCAGTTGACTTTCTGGGCTGTGAGTGCACATGACAGGCTCATGTTCATTTTTTCATCCAGTAGTACCCCCAAGACCTTCTCCACAGGGCTGCTCTTGATCCATTCATACCCCAGTCTGTATTAATGCTGGGATTACACAAACTCAGGTGGACTTGGCCTTGTAGAACTTCATGAGGATCTCTGCTGTTACTCCCTGGAAGTGCACGCTGACAGTGCTGTCTGTGCTTGTGCTGTGAAGAAGGCCAGCAAGTTGAGGGAGACAGTTATTCTGCTCTGGCCAGCACTTGTGAGACTTCTTTTTGGAGTATTTAGTCCAGTCCTAGGCTCCCCTGGACAAAAAACCCACCCCAACAGGTGTTCTGGAGCAGGATCACCACACTGTTCTGGGGCAGGAGTGTGTGATGTGTGAGGAGAGGCTGAGAGCTGCATGTCTGCAGCTGTGGGACTAGGAGTCAGCTGTGTGTTACTGTTTGCAGGTAGGGATAGAGAAGACGGAGCCAGACTCTTCTTGGAGGTGCATAACGAAAGGGCAAGGGACACCTTTTTCACCATGAGGGTGGTCAAACATGGAAAGGGAGGTTGTGGGATAGCTCCCCGGCACTTTCCATTTATTAGAGTAGATGTTGCATCTCCTCAGATGCAAGCAGAGAATCTCTTTTTGCTCGTCAGGTCTCTGCACTGTGCACAAGATTAATAGGGAGTATTCTGTGTTCTGCTGACTGCTGACTGCCCCAAACACCTGTTCCAGGGGTGTGGGTATAGAAACAGAAACCTGTACATGTGACCACTTCATTTGTGTCTACAAAAATCCATGCAGGCATGGGCACACAGAGGTAAGCTTGGGTTTGCTGTGCTGAAGAAAAGCCTGCAGGCTTCCTGCTCTGCAGGTCTCTTCACATGAGAGAGTGTTCTGAGCACAGGTTTTGATGTGCTGGGTGCCAGGTGCTGATGTGTCGTTAGATTGTTCCTCGCCTCTACTTTAAAAAACACTTCTCTGTGCTTTTTGTCTCCTCACAGCTTGAAAGTTAAACTATACTGCTCACCAGTAACTAAGGAATTGCTATTGTCTAACTGGAAATACAAGTTTTGGGAGAATCATATTGTGAGTTTGTGTTTATTTTCAAATTGACGCTTTCCAAGCAGTGATTGTAGGAAAGAGGAAGCCTCTGCTCCTCAGAAATGCCTAAATGTTGGTGTCGATACAATGTTTCAGATCTCAAGTATTTCCAACAATGTGTCTTTGCGCTGCTTGCTGTGTGGGATTGATTTGTTGATGCTTAATTATTATTCCCTTCCCATGAGTTTTTCTTTCCTCTCACCCTCAGCTTTACATGGCCGTCATCTTTATATTGATCATTTGTATCTCTATATTCATTTCCTTACCTTGCTCATGTGTTTTTGCTCCTGTCCTTAATTAATTTCTCTTTTGCTTAATTTAAAATCTCTTACTGCTTGGAGAATATATAACCTGTAGTTATATTATTTTCCTTTTGCTTTTTGGAAAATGGACTATGTCTAACATGAAAAAGTTTTAATGATGTAAAGTCACTGAAGAACTTAATCAGTTTACATGATTTCCACTGTTTGGAGCCAAACTTCAAGGGATCAATGTCATGTACAGATGTGACTTGTAGTTATTTCCTTACCTTTGCAGACACAGGCAACATGAAATTGCACGTTTTTTTTACAGAAATAAAAATAATCACCTCTGCACAAACACAGGAATCCATACTCCCTGTGGTCTGTGGGCTCTCCTGGTAATAGGGGGCAATGGGAAATGCTGTAGCACAGATCTGTCCTAGGAAGATCCACTGATCCACTGGTGTGCTCTAGGACTGGGATGTCTTGGGTCTTGCAGTCATCCAAAATAAGGCATATGATCCAGCCACAGAAAGAAAAGCTGTTGCTGTAATAAGTCCCACATACTCTAACTTTTTTAGGTATGTAAACCTTGGTTGAGGTATCTCCATTTCATTTTTAGACAACTTTTAGGAAACTTTTTTTTCCACTGGAAATAGAAATTCATGACTATGGGAAAATGAGTTTAATTTTACAGGCTTAGCAATAACCACAGTGAGTGCTAGAGATATCTAGATAATGAATACCAGCCATAAACATGAAACACAATGTCCAGTAAATCCTATAATGCAATTAATCATTTTATTCCAGGTTGCATTGGAAGTTGAAACTCCAACTCAGATTTCTTTAGTAGATGAAACATCTGGTGAGGTAAGTTCCAGGAAAAAATGATTCATATATTAGTAATGGACAGTAATGCTGTTTATATGAGTATAGGAAACACCTTACCTGTAACATCCCAAGAGGACAAGCTATTTTTAAAATGCATGTTACCCTCCTCTCCTGGATGTGCAGCCAATGAATTCTGTTGCCGTGCTTTGTTCTTACAATCATAGCAATCTTTTGGTAATGCCTTTCCAGGGCATTACCAACTTACTTATTGCTCTTGTGATCTTTTTCACTTTGTATCTTCTGACTTATTTTAATTAACAAGCTTTAAATGCAGAACGTTAAGGTCTAGTAGAGGATCTCCACACAAAGTGTATCCCAAGAGGCCATTTCTGTGGTGTTTGTGGATGCTTGGTAGATGGGATCCTGCACATAGCACGTGCTCACAGGCCAGAAAGCCAAATGTGTCCTGGGCTGCAGCACAGGAACTGTGGGCAGCAGGTTGAGGGAGGGGGTTCTGCTTCTCTGCTCTGCTCTGGGGAGACCCCACCTGGAGTGCTATGTCCAGCTCTGAAGTCCCCAATACAGGAAAGACATGGACCTGTTGGAGCGGGTCCAGAGGATGGCTACCAAAAAGGGGAAGGGCTACATCTGAGGAAAGGTTGAGAGTTGAGGTTGCTCAGCCTGGAGAAGAGAAGGCTCTGGGGAGACCTTTCAGTACTTAAAGGGGGCTTATAAGAAAAATGGGGACAGACTTTTTAGTAGGGCTTGTAGGGACAGAACAAGGGATGATAGATTTACACTAAAAGAGGGTTCATTCAGACTAGATATAAGGAAGAAGTTTTTTACAATGAGTGTGGTGAAACACTGGAACAGGTTGCCCAGAGAGCTGGTGGATATCCCATCCCTGGAAACATTCAAGGTCAGGATGGATGAGACTGAGCAATCCAATCTAGTTGAAGATGTCCTTGCCTGGGGCAGGGGTGTTAAACTGGATGAACTTTAAAGGTTCCTTCTAGCCTAAACTATTCTGTGATTCTGTACTTGCTCACCAGGAACTAGGGAATTAGAACTGTCTTATATCCAACTTGCTTTATAGGCACCTTACAATACTTAGTCCTCTCTTCAGACATGACAAGATGCTCATTGCTCTTTAGTGCTTGTTGCAATGTGAAGAGACTCTCTTGATTTAAATGCTAAATTCTGCAAGAGGCTGTGGAAAGTAATGTGTTCCTTTCATTATGCTGATAAAAGTACTGGTAGTACTTGCTACACTGTGTAAATAATGCTAACCCATCTCTTCCAGAAAGAAGATGTAGTGGTGACACTTCTGCCAGCTGGTCACTGTCCAGGTTCAGTCATGTATGTACTTTCAATGCCCTAAATGTTTCTGCTGAGAGATTTGTCCTATAGAGTTCTCACTGAGTACTGTTTTGGGTTGTGGTGCTGGTTTTTTTTTTCCAACTAGAAGAAGCTAATGAATTTAAAATTCTTACTTGGAGGAAATACTATTGTGGCAGGGCCCACCACCTTTGATGAAGCTTGGAAAACCACAGTACTATCTGGGATCTGTCCAGATGGAAGTTGTTACCTTGGTGGGGCAGATTACTATTCCCTGTGCCTGAGTGATTTCAACTGTACTTAAAAATAACATACAAAACTGTTATTGAAAATAAATCCTCCATTTCTTGAGTATGACATTAAAAAGAAGGTGCCCAGCTCTAGATACAGCTGCCCAATAGATGCCTTTGGCTCCAACAGACAGCTGGGCCACCCTTGTTGGTTTTGTGAGGCTTTTGTCTTCAACTCTGACTGGGCCAGGCAGAGGTTACTTTCCAGACATACTGAGTCTGAATTGTTTGGTTTATCTGAAATTACTGTAGAAGCAAGTTGAGCCCAGTGTTTCTATTACAGCCTACGTTAGTCATGGCGACTCCCCTAAGCAAGGTAACAAATCACTACCTGGCATTTAATGCTTTATTTTGCTGCATTTGACCCAGCTGTTGCTGTTTGCAGGTTTCTGTTTGAAGGTGAGAATGGCACTGTGCTGTACACAGGGGATTTCAGGCTTGCAAAAGGAGAAGCAGCCAGAATGGAGCTTTTGCATTCAGGGACCAGGTGAGCTATTTGTGGGATTTAGAAAGAATAAAAGATCATATGGCATAGACAATTCAGGAATAATGTACTCATTTTTCCTCATTTTTTATTCTGGATTAAATATAATTGCAATGCTGCAGTTACAAAACCCCTTTGATTTGTTCTTTGTAATAAAGAGGTAGATTTGCTTCCTTTTGAAAAGAGGAAGTGGTGTGTCTTAGTACTGTGATGCAATATTCCCTCTGATATCACATTTCTCTCCTCCAGAGTAAAAGACATCCAGAGTGTGTATTTGGACACTACTTTTTGTGATCCCAAATTTTATCACATACCAAGCCGGGTAAGTCCAAATAAGCTGTGAGAGGAAAGGTCCTTAAAACTGCTAACTAATTAACCATCCCTTTTTTATGTAAGTCTTGCAAGACAATGCCATTTTGCATTACCAAATTGCAACACATAGAAAGTATCTTCAAAGATGATTCACAGCATTTTCTACACTTTTCAGGAGGAATGTTTAAATGGGATCTTGGAGTTAGCGCGAAGCTGGACCTCACTGTCCCGCTGTCACGTTGTGTGGCTGAACTGCAAAGCTGCTTATGGATATGAATATTTATTCGTAAACCTCAGTGAGGAACTCGGAATCAAGGTAATGTTTCTATGATTGTTGCTTTGGAACAGATCCTCAGTAATGATTGTGGCCAGTCACCGAGCTGGCAGTGGCTGTTCAGAGGGCTGCTGTGTGTTACAGATGTGCCTGCTTTCATTAACTGCCCTTAGGAAGCTGCAGTTGTGCTCAAAATGAGTTAACGAGTTGATTTCAGTCTGGAGCAGAATCACAGAATATGCTGAGTTGGAAGGGATCCTTGGAAGGATCCTTGAGTCTAGGCCTTAGCCCTGCACAGGACCATCCCCAAAAGTCACATCATGTGCCTGAAAGTATCATCCAAATGCTTCTTGAACTCTGACTGTCAGGCTTGGTGCTGTGACCACTTCCCTGGGGAGCCTGTTCCAGTTCCCAACCACCCTCTGGGTGAAGAACCTTTTTCTAATATCCAACCTAAACCTCTCCTGACACAACTTCAGGCCATTCCCTCCTGTCCTGTCACTGGTGACCACAGAGAAGACATCAGTGCCTGCCCTTCCTCTTCCTCTCACAAGGAAGTTGTAGACTGCAATGACATCTGTACTTTCCAAAGAGAAGTTAATTCCCGGTTTTCAAGCTCAGCGTTTTCCTCTCTCCCTTTTAACTTATTTACATACAACACTAATAGTGAGCAGTTATATTCTGACTTTCTGATGATATTCTTCCCTCCTCAGCATGAGAGATATGTTCTACTTCTTCTAGATGTCCAAGTTTTGGCTCACACATCTCTGCTTGGACATTATTAGTGGGAGTAGTTTTTAAATGTCTCCTGGCATCTGGGGAGAGCAGAAGCAAATCTGTACAGATGCTTGAGCTGCAGCCTGGCAAACATGCTGAGCTAATGAAGAGTAAACTCTGCCTTTCTCTAGGTGCACACGAACAAACCTGATATGTTCAGGAACATGCCAGAAATCCTGTGCCATCTTACTACAGACCGACACACTCAGATCCATGCCTGTCGACATCCTTGGGTGTGTATCATTCTGCAGAGCCTCTGCTAACTTTGCTCTGAAAGTGTGGCTACAGGTGCTATATTTTGGGCTTGTTGTGCTAATGAAGACTGGTGAAATGGTGGCTTAATGTAAAGAAGAGTGAGAGCTTTAGTTAGCGGGTTGAAGTTTTTTAAAAAAAAAAAAAGAAGAAAAAAGGGAAAAATATATTAGCTTATTGCTGGAAATAGTTTAATTGTATTTGAAACCTGAAAATTGTATTAAGTGAAGTAAAACAAGCAGCAGATTAGATCAGTCAGGTATTATCCATGTAAATGTATCAAAAGCAGCTCAGATGATGCCTGCTGCAGCCATGCACTGTGTGGTTGTAGCACATGGCCTTCCCTTTCCAGGATGTCTGTCAAGCTGGAGGCTCCAACTTGGAGGAGCTCAGGTAGAAGCAGAGATCACACTTTGGGGCATTGGTCTCTATGACTGATTTGCTTTGCCATCTGCACTAAGGAAGCAATGTGTGACTTAGAATGTTTCAAGGGAGTTGGAAGTGAGAGGAGAACTTGGTCTGCCTAGATACTGTGTTGCCTAATTTCTCGGGGATAAAAGGTTCCCTATTACACTTAATTTTATCTTGCATTGGGCAGGATGATGACTGCTTCCGAGGGAACAGACTGCCCTGTGGGCTGACTTGCCAAAATGGAACTCCCCTGCACATAATCAGCATCAAACCCTCCACTATGTGGTTTGGGGAAAGGATCAAGAAAACCAATGTAATCGTGAGGTGAGCATTTGGGCCACACAGAAACCTGTTGTTTGAGAAACGTATCTTGCCTGACACTTGTATACTTAAATCTCAAAATGGACTTCAAGAGCAGGTTATGCTTGACTGTTGACTGAGGATGAAGAGCAGTTATCTAATTTTTGTGCCTCCTCTGTTTTTTAGGACTGGGGAAAGAACGTACAGAGCTTGTTTCTCTTTCCACTCTTCATACAGCGAGGTTTGTATACTTGTAGTTCTGAATATACGATGATTAAGAAAACATAAAGGAGATTTGATTGTTCTGGAGTGAATGACATGACTTGACACAAAAAAAAAATCTTGTCAATAATAAGACATCAGGGGATAAGAAGTCCTGATGCCGAAGACAGAGAAACTTGTTTTAATATAACTGCAGAGTAGCATATTAAAGAAGGGCAGGATTACAAGCCTATTTTTTGTTCTCTGTTCTCAGTGTATAGGTCATAAGTTTGTTGCCTGCCTTTGTATTTTAGATTATTGTGTAACTATGCAATGCTTAAAGCATGGAGTTTTGGTTTTCAATACATTATTTATCTACTGTGACTCAGTTTTGGGTAGGTTTGCCTTTTATTCCCTGCCCACACATGTAAACAGAATTTTTCTTGCATCCTATCTGCCACTGCTACTCCTTTTTCTGTGTTAGGGAATAAAAGGGAATTGGTCATGGCAGCATCCTCCCCCGAGGATTTAATGTGACTCGATCCAGTTCTAAAAACACTTCTCTCTCCTAAAAAACTGAAGCTGGATCAGCGCTAATAAGGAACCTGTAACAAAGCCTTGCCTCATACAAAATGGAGATTATTCAGAACCCCAGGAAGACAGTCCTCTTTTTAAGATCCTGTTTAAGTTTTAGTTTGCTCTGCCATAAGGAATTTTAAATGGAGGTACTAGCATAGTACATACAACGTGACAGGTTTACTGGTGGAATATGGGGGGTAGTGTAACCGTAACACTCCTTCCTCCACATGCAAAAATAGATGGGCCCTGCTGTCTGCACAGATAGGAGTGTAATCTGCAACCTGCAAGTGTTTCCAGTGCTCAGCACTGACAAAGCCTCAGCTGGAGTGGAGTGCTGCAAACTGAACACAATTCTTCAAGAAATTTGCTGTCTGGAGAGCATCCAGAAGACAACAGAGTAAGGCTTGGAAAAACTGATGTGTTTTGGGCTTTTGCAGGGGACTGAAGGGAGACTTTAGGAAAAGTCCCTGAGGAAGAGAATTACCTGACTTGCACACATAGGGACTTGAAGTCCAGTAAGAAAAATGCAGGTTTGAAAACACTGACAGCAGTAAGGACAGGGAAGTGCTGGATCACACTCCAAATCTGTCCAGTCTTTTTTTTCAGAGATAGTGATGATCTGTAGAAGTTGATAATTGTAGTGAGGTGTTAGGTGAGGCTGAGTTTTCAGAATCCTTTCCAGAGCTATCCACTTGGATAGAGTTTAGCTCATGGGTCACATTGGTCTTTACATGAGACCAGTGGTAGTACTTTTCAGTATGCTTGCATCAGTGCTGCCTTTAAGTGAAATTCTTAACTGTTGATGTAACTTATCAAATTGCTTCTTCTTCTCTGGAATTTAGATTAAGGATTTCCTCAGCTATATCTGTCCTGTGAATGTGTATCCCAACGTACTGCCACTGGGTGGGACAGAGGACAAAGTAATGGAAATGTAAGTGACAAATGGCTGCTGGATGGAGGTGGTCCAAACTCGGTTCTTGTAAGGACAACTTCCCTCTTGAATCCTGGCCTCTCAGGAGGGGCACTGCCTTTTGCTTTGCTGGTCTGATAATTCTTTTTTCTTTTTTCATCTATATTCAGTCCCACAAACTTGAGCTTTCTGAAGCACACTTGTACGCTGAGTTAAGTGTGAGAGTTTGTATTCCACACACTACTTCTATCTATGTGTAAAGGCTTTCCTGCTGGTAAACGCTGGAAGCTGAATACACATTCATCTCACTGTGTTCTGTGACCCATTTCTATTTCATTGCAACTTCTCAGAAGTTTCTTTTTAAAAGGGTTTCTTTGAGGTCTTGAACACCTCCCCTCTGCATCAGAGGCCAGTTCTCTTGTGCAGCTGCAGGTGTTGGCAGCTTAGAAAGCACCCTCACAGAGCAGGAGAGCAGTGGTGTCACTCAGTCTGAACAAAACTAGGACTCCTTTTTCTGTTCCTTTTTTCTTTTCCTCCTTAATTAGGAAAGGAGACTTTATACTTATCAGTTATTGAATAAAACTGCAGTCAGATTTTGAACCCTCTCATCTTGTCTCACTAAGCAAGGAACTACAAGATAGTTTCCAAATGACGTACATGTTTTAAGGTAAATATGTTGAAATGACAGATCTCTACCTTTAAGCTGCTCAAGCTCACCAATGAATCAAAAGCTTTTCCCTAGGTATTGCTGCCTTTGCTTTAACATTTTTGCTGCAGTGCCTGTGAAAGGCATGGAGCAGTGTACTTACATCAAGTTAAAAGTTTTAATTCTGCTCCTGAAAGTGTCTGCTGTGTTCTAAACATAATTGCTTTTCTCATTCCCCTCAGATTAAAGCCATTATGCAGGTCATACAGGAGAAACATGGAACCCAGGTACAAGCCCTTAGGAACACTGAAGAGAGTCCACAAGAGAGAATTATCTGATACAGGTAAAGGTTCTGATGGTGCTACTGCACCTTAAATGAAAGTCTGAGACTAAGCAGAGGTGCCAAAAGCCTCAGTGTTCACCACAGTCTGTCTTTGTGTTCAAAACAACAGTTGGAAAGGAAAAATATAAATTAACTTTGGATTTTAAGAGCACTAATTGTGTAAAAACACACTTGTTTGCAGTCTTACAATGTACTTACTGCTCAACAGCCCTTTCAGTCTTTGGATACAGTTCCTTCCCACAGTCCTGGACCAGCTCTAGGAAAACTTGTTCTAACTGCCCCTCTGTGAGGCACTGAGCTGGACAAGGCATGGCAAACACTGTCAATAATGTCATGCAAAGTCTCCAGCTGGGTTAAAGAACTTTTTCCTCAATTTACACTAAATAAATTTTTATTAAAACTTTGCTCTTAACAAGATTTTAGCAGAGATGTGAACTTTTCTTAGTGACTTTCTTTTTCTGTTCGTTTCCTGACAGATGAAGATGATCTCTTTGATTCAGAATTAACTTCTGCAAGGCCTAAGATTCCAAAACAGCAGACAGGAGAGAGCAGGCCATCCAGCACAGGACAGTCTGAAAATGCTGAAGGAAATATGAATGAGAGCACAGAAAGTTACAAAGCAACCACAACTTACACCTCCCTCCAGGTAGATTTTGTGGACTGTGAGGAATCAAATGATGATGATGATGATGAAAATGATGAAGAAGAATCTGAAAAAAATACAGTTCAAGTTCTTTCCCATGAGCCAGATGCCACTTCCACAGCAAATTTCAGTGGAGTAACTAGTGACCAACAGGACTCTAATGCTGATGTCCCTCGCTGGGATGAATTCTTTATGTGTAATAAGTTAGAGGAAAGCTCTGAAAATGAGGACAACATCCCATCTTCGGCAGATGCTGGTGGGTCCCAGTCGCTCTTCAGCGATTCGGATGGAGTAAGTGACTCAACACACATCTCCTCCCAAAATTCTTCTCAGTCGACACACATATCAGAGCAGGGGAGCCAGGGCTGGGATAGCCAAATGGACACAGTGCTTATCACCTCCCAGGAGAGAAGTGCCCTGGACTTCAGCAAAGGTGGGAGCAGAGCAGTTGTTCCTGTGCTGCAGGAGACTGCCAGGGACAGTCAGCCGGAGAGTAGCAGGGGGAAGCCACCAGGGCAGAGCAGCCCCTGTGTCTACGATGGTGCCTGTGACTTGAAAAGCAAGGGCTGTGAGAAAGCTGCAGAGACTGGCACTGCTCGTGTTCAGGATGCGCTGGTGGAACTAAGTGACAGCTCGAGGACTCCTGACCTGGAGCTGAGGAGGGACTCCCAGAGCTCCTCTGACTTCGAAATTCCCTTGACTCCTGGTGCTGAAGTGCCTCAGCCAGATAAACTGCACCATTTATACGAGAAGCTTGCAGCAGGGGAAAACATACTCAGTGAGAAAAAAGTCTCCTGAGGACAGATATAACTGATTACATTGTGGTGATACCCAAAATGTTTATTAATACCCGAATTCTTTTTCTCTTTAGTGCCAATTACTATATGCAGCTATGCTGACTCATGCAATTTTTTTTTTCCAGAAATATCTTACTGTCAGAACTAGGAATTTGTAGCCTGTGTAACTTTATTGTTCCTTCCATGAAATATTGAAAACGAAGTATTCCTAGGAAGGACTGTAAAAGCATTCTACCTCCCGAGGTTCATTTCTCCAGGACTGTAAGTAGACAAAAAGTGGACCAGACAAAAATAAGCACAGAACACTAAATGAAATTTAGGGTTTATCATGAGCTCTAAGAGTTTGCCTTTGTAATGTGATCTCAGGTTTTAATAAAATACCACAGTTAACTGTGGGGAGGAACACATAGGAATGACCATGTAAACAAGGCAGTATTATCATTATTATCACTATTTAATTAGTATTCACTGCAGTTATTTTTAAAAACAACTGCAGAACACATTAGATAATTACTGAGAATGTGAGGGGTTTTTAATTTGTTGTTAAATCAAATTGTTCAAGTCTCTCTTTACACTGAGCAAGTGGTGTCATCTGACTTTTAACTCCTGAATGAGGTACTACACACCACTGTCTATGCTTTAACTCCAACTCGTTGCATACAACTTGTCATCAGTTCCTCCATGGTTTGGTTTCACAAAAACTTTAAATCTTGTGGTTTCCAAGCCACTAGCCCTGGCCTGCTCTGGCAACAGAAAGTAACCTGTTATCCCAGACAGGTGGTTGCATTACTTGAGGCTCCTGTACTACAAAATTTCACTTCTTCTGCAACATTCTGTAGACTTCACTGAATTCTTTTTCAAATCAAGACAATATATTCTCTATAGATGTGTGCCATCATAACTTTCTTTGCCAAAATTCTTAGGTTCTACCATGGAAATGTAATACAGGTTTTAGTTAAACTGCAGTGCCTATAAAATAAACCACAGAAGTCATCTGAAAATCCCTGAGGTTTCCTATCCATGTGGTCTTAAATGCCAAAGAATTAAACAGACCTTTAACACAACATCTCTCCCCTCCAAGTGTGCCTTGAGTCTTTGTGCCATGTTTAGTGATATGTGAATGTTAAACCAGCCAGCATTCTGACACTGGGAACGGGCAGGAGGGGACAAAGCATTGCTCTGATCTACATATGATTTTAAGGATATTCAAGATCCGTGTATTTCGTCACTGTCACCTTGTCCGGTGTTTGTGGGATTTGTTTGTGTAATTTCCAAATGTGATTTATCAAATTTTGGGATTTTTTTAGCAAGCCTGAATGGAACTGCTGTTATAACTACTTCTGTGAATAAAGTCAGACAGAGCAGAAATTATTCTGTGGGCTTGTTTCATATCTGTAGTGCGCATGTAAGTTCAGGGCTGCCTTTACAGGGTGCTCAAATACACAGGAACCCAGTCTGCTTCAGGCAAGTTGACAGTGTAAATTTATACCACTTCTCACCAGCCCTAAACTGAAAACAGATGATTTCCTCCTGGTTACTCTGCTGGAGTCCTTACAGGGCTAGAAAATTTTGGGAACAGGACAGGAATTAAGAGGTTGCAGTCTTAAAGCAACTTCTACTGCTGTAGCTAATTTTGACAGGCTAAGATTTATTTTTTTTTAAGAATGACAACAACAAGAGAAAAACTAGATTTCATTTATTTTATCAAAAACTATAGGAAGATAGCAATACTAGAGATCACACAGTATGAAAAGAAAATGTTCCTGAGCTTACAAACTGCATATTCTAATGTACACAGTTCCTAAAACATACATTAGAAATAACCAAAAGATTGACTTAACTTGGAGATTAAATAAATAGACAATAGCTTTTCTTACAGGTGATCTTGCAGCTTTAGTTTTGCTACCAAATAATAAAAATAATCCCAACAAAAAAGAACAGCTGGAGAACAAGCCACCAGTCCCCAAGAAGTGCATACACACAACTGAACTGGTGACCATGACAATGCCAACAAAGCAAAACAAAGGCAGAAGCTGGGCTGGTTTAGGTTCCCTAAGAAATTGAAAATAGCTTTTTCTCCTTTTCCAATTTGGCAATTTTCTGCCAAACTCATAGAAACAGCAAAAAGAGTTTTAAAAGTGACATAGTGTCCCTTTAAGCTAATTCACTGATGGCAATCCAAATGCACTGTGCATATGTAAATATAAAATACTGTTCAATGCTCTAAACTGGAAACTGGATACATGGATTTACTTCAAATAAATACAAAATGCTGTTGCCTCCCAGAACATAAATTAACGGATCTTTATTTATGGCAGAAGATAACACACATATCCTTAGAGAACAGCAGCTTTATTCCAGCACTGGTGATAACATTCACTGCCTCAGGACAAGGCAGATGCTGAGCTCAGGTACAACTGCCACAACTGTTATCTTTTAAACTTGCAATATTTAAATCAAGCTGGGCATGAACATGACAGACAGAAACAGGAGCCCGCCCTGTGCCCCGGGCGCGGGCGAGGCCACAGTAAGGAATCCATTTCTTGCCGCAGCCGCTCTCTCCTTCCTGCAGTGACAGGGCAGGCTGCCGACTGCAGCGGATTAAGGAGCTGGAAACTGCAGATTCCATCCACATGGAATGCACCGCTGGCTCGGGCTACATGCAAGAGAAAGCACTAATGACTCCAAACGATGCAAGATCATCTGGAGTTTGCTAACATGAAAGCTCCACATTCCACTTTAAATAAAAAAATAATCATTAGAGATGTGGCATGATAAAAGCTGACTAGATTCAGCATTTATCCAAGTGCGTGAATACAGGTGAGCTTGGTCCCATCAAATACTTTCAAATCTAAGCAAACTTTCTCCTATTCATTAAGCAATATAAAGTCTCTATTTCAACGTGTATCTCTGTATTGGAGATTACAAAACTCACACAGCATTTCCAGTGGCCCACGCTCTTCACCCCATCTGTGATACTGATTTGGGCTAGTAGCATATAAAAAAATGCCATTTTCTACCAAAGGGCCAGATCTTCACTGCAAATGCAACTGTGCTTGTTAATGAGCAACCTGTATTATCCTTTGAAGTGCTAGTAATTAACATGGAATTTAAGGCATTTGCTAACATTAAGTAAACAATTACATGCTGGCACCTTATAAAGGTAATTAGCTGACCTATGATACATAGCTAGCATCCAGTTATGGAGCATCCATTTATGGAGCAACATTGTTCTGCCTGACCCTGTCAACTTTTACATGACTTGTAAGCAATATGCAAGTTTTACGAGATTTTAATCCATGAGAACAAAGCACTTGGATCATCCCCAGAGCACGGACTTTGGCTGTAACTCCACTCCTAACCACCTTCAACTGTTGTTTTGAAGCCAAGCAAAACTTAGCATATGTTACGAATAGATTGAGACAACTTTAAAATGATCAGGAAAAAAAAAGACGACTCAAGCAGCTGAAGAACAGCACGTTTCTCAGCCTTTACATTCAAGAACATCTTACAAATGTCTGCTGGAAACGGGTATACTCACCCCTAGTCTAACTTCACTGAAGTTAACATTTTTGCAACCAGAAAATACAGGCCTAGTATCTTAGAAGTCTGTCACTAGATAAAAAAGTCACAGTATGTAAAAACTTAATGGAAACCAGTTGTGAATATACATCAATTTCCAGGGTACTTTTGCACCTAACAGATAACTTGAGCGTATCTCCACAATGCATCAACCTTGTTAGACAATGGGCTGCTCTCCCTAACTTTTGCTATCTATTTTCAAACTGTAGTCAGCAATTTGTTTCAGCCATGACTGCCAAATTTCTGCAATGAAAACAAACAGCAAATGTTACTACCAACAATCCCGTATTTACAAATCCACTGTAGAAATGCAATCCTCCTATAGCATCCTAACTAAAAATCAGAATATAACTGAAAAAACTTCTAGATAACAGAACATCAGCTAAAAAGTTCCAAGCTTTACACCTGGGATCTGCTAACACCAATTACTTCACTCGCATGGAGTTCCATGGACATTTTACAATTTGCATTCCTATGAACCTTCATTTGCACACCGGCTGTCCTTAATCCCTCTCTCTGGTGCCATAAAGGTTATTGCTGAGCTCTTGAAGCTTTTCTTTATACAAAAAAGCAAAAGAACTGTCAGCTGTGATTTAGGATTCAAATCGAATGCCTCCTGACTTCTCAAGGTATAGAAAACATGTAACATCACTTCATCCCCCTGGAATCAGCTCCTGAAGGGCTATGGCTGTGAGCTCACACTCGAATGTCAGTGGCAACTTGAATATGAGTCAGCAGTGCCCTGGTAGCCAGGAGGGCCAACCATGTCCTGGGGGGCATCAGGCACAGCCTCGCCAGCCGGGTGAGGGAGGGGATTGTCCCGCTCTGCTCTGACCTGGGGTATCCTCACCTTGAATTTTGTGCGCAGTTTTGGGCACCACAATGTAAGAAAGATATTAAGCCATTAGAAAGTGTCCAAAGGAGGGCAAGAAAGACGGTGAAGGGCCTGGAGAGGAAGCTGTATGAGGAGCAGCTGAGGGCACTTGGTCTGTTCAGCCTGAAGAAGAGAAGACTGAGGGGAGACCTCATTGCAGTTACAACTTCCTTGGGAGGGGAAGAGGGGCAGGCACTGATCTCTTCACTCTTGAGACCAGTGACAGGACTCAAGGAAATGGCATGAGGCTGAGTCAGGGGAGGTTTTGGTTGGATATGAGGAAAATTTTCACTGATAGGGTGCTTGGGCACTGGAACAGGCTTCCCATGGAAGTGGTGACAACACCAAACCTGACAGAGCTCAAGACAATGCTCTCAGGTGCATGGTGTGACTCTTGGGGTGTCCTGCACAGAGCCAGAAGTTGGACTTGATGATCCTGATGAGTCCCTTCCAACTCAACATATTCTAGAATTCTGTGAATATTCAAATCAAGGTACATTTTAGAGTTTTCTTTGCATACATTTTACTGCTTCCTACACAACAGTTCTAGAAAAATCTATTTTTAATCCCTGTTATCAGTTTTGTATTTGCCTGAAACACTACAATCTCTTTCTTTGGCTAATGCCATTTCAATTA